AAAAAAAACATTACGGTCATTGATCCCACAATACGCCTTCTCCTCAAATTCATTCAGTCTTCACCCTCGCCAATCCGTGAGGGAATCTCCCCACGTGTTGAAGTACGCACCTCGGTTGCAGTGTGACGCACAATTTTTTCAACCCCACTCCAATGCACTCACCCACTCACGCATCCACAATGTAATACAGAAAATGCATTGCTGTGCTTTCGACTTTACGGTCTGATGGCTCCGACACTTTTCCCTGCTCCCCTCATAGCCCAGCCCCTATCCGCAACTTCACCCCAACACTATAACAATCTCCACAGCACCCAAGAGAGCAAAAAGAAAAGAGCTAGTTCGGTCGGTGACGCCTCTAAATATCTCAAAGTCTAACCGAAAAATGTTATCACTCAAAACGGCATTTCAAAATTATAGACATTGAAGATTATCAGACAAATCTACACTGATGTTGTAAATTAAGATGAGTCTTTTTTTTTACAGACCAGATTTCAGGTAATATCTTGGAATTGAAGGGAGATAGCAATATTTTTATAAATACAGTTTTTGTAGATAAACATGAGAGCTATAAAAATGGTATTTATGAAAATCGCACTATCTGCTTTCAGTTACGAGATACTTGATAAAATTTACACTTAACAGCGAATGCGGCTATCCTGGTTTACCACTTCGAAACAGAAATCATTTAAAAAAAGAAAGAAGGAGATATCGTATCAAAAATCTATATCATATACCTTCCCCCTTCCACTGAACATTTTCCGTAATGATTCCACAAATTAATTATCGTATTAATCAGTTATTTTTTTTGTTTCAGCTTCGGCATACATTTCAACCCCATGAAATGTGTTTAACGTAAACAGCTGTGGGTACTAATTCAGCGGTCATTAGAAGTTGAGTCATTGTAGCGAGTTATTCTTTCTCTAAAAATATATAAAACCTTCATCCAATATTCACTCAATTTACGATATTTTTCTATAGGTCATGAAATTGCTTTAAGGTCTACCCCGAGAAAAATCGAAGTGACAAAAAAGGACAAAATTTATTTACTTGTCAAGTGTAATTAATCCTCGTAATTTCGGAATAATCGTTGAAGAGAGTAATACTAAAAATATCCAACAATATGAAATCATAATTAATTTAAGACTAATCAAATCACTTTAATGTCCGACTAAAATTAGTGATTGAACAACGGAAACAGAATGCTCGTTTCATTTCGTATCAACTTTATCGCATTTCTAATCTAGGATATTTATATTTGCTTCTTAACCTTTACTCAACCTGAATGTACATTGCCCTTACTTTACCCTGTCTACATATTTATTGATTGCCAGTCCGATATGAGGGATTGTGCAATCTGGATAATTGTCTAGACAAATTGCAATTAGAGACATTTATAATGATGCTTCAGGCGTTAATACTGAAACAAATTCGTCCTTCTGCCTTTCTTACCACTTTCGCCCCTTTTTCTTGCACTGTGAGAAAAAAATTCAGGGGGCAAGTAAATAGTTCTGATCTAAAGTACAATATACATTTTCTATAATTTATTTTCTTTTCTGAGTAAAGTAGTGAATAGAATATTTTTGTGATACTATCACTAATTAAATCCGCATTAACATTATATCGTCATCTCAAGTGTTTGTGACAAATACTCACAAATTTAGAGTTATTTAATTATTACATGAGAGAATGCATATCGTCGAAGTTATCTGGTATGAATTTACGCAAAATAGGAATGTTTTCAGAAGAATTAACGCAACAATGAACATGAAATAACAATTCCTGAATCTTGAAAAATTAGGGAATACAACAGTACAGTGACATCAATTAATCTTATTCACTAACGAAGATAAAAATATGTAAATCTCATGCTTCATATGAAAGTAAAGTATGATGAAATAACATGAAAATTTAAGAAAATTTAATTTTCTCACAATAATATATCTGCGGTTTATATAATTCCACGAAAGATGTAGAACGTCAATATTCTTAGCACAAATAACGCCATCCTTAAAAAGAGCTGTTGGAGAATCACCCAAAGTTATTCCAATTAATTGGCGAAAATCTTGACACTTATTTACGCGTAATAAATTCATTTCGCAAGACTAATTTTTTCTCTGAATGTGCGATCGCCCCTTTCTCCTGGTTATTCTTGTATCTTCATTTTGAATCTTGCCTTGGATTATTTGTTCAATTTCACCGGCTCTGTTGAATAAATATTGTTAATCATTTTTGAAACTCGTCTTTATCATATAATTTTTTCGTGATATACAGAGAGACAACTGCTTGGTATCCATGGGTGTTGTAGAAGTTCATCACACGTTTGAATGATCTACTCTGGTGGGTGTGCATTTATGGATGAGAGCACACAGATACATTGGCGACGAGTCTAGAAGACTCTCTTCTCCACATATTCCCCTCAGTCTACGCAATATATCTTTGTGTGGATTGTATCAATGTGGGTTAAAGTCAGTGGGGTTGAGGTATACATGATTGTGTGTGTGTCGGCCTGCATGAAGGCACAAAACTGTAAGGGGGAACTTGACACGCGTGTGTTCCACCCGAGTTTTGGCTTTAGTTTACTTGCAGACACCGGGCACGGGTGTCACCTCTAATAAATTCATTTGTACTAATTTTTAATTAGCAATTGAATCAGCAATTCTTCTCAGAAATTCCAATTAGCTTGTGATTGTCTATCTGATCACTTTCATCAACGGATCTGATCGACTGTACATATTTTTTATGGCATATTACGGTTTCCTTTTTCGAATTTCGATTTTCGATTTTTGGGTGTTTGATTTTTCACATGTCATGTCATTTTTGAAGTCAGAAGTGGTACCAGTGCTCAAGGATTACGCATGTTACGATAAACGACGAATCTCGGAATAGATGTTATAAATTTGGAGGAATTAAACAAATCAAGTGTTATCCAGCTGCATTAATGTTTCGCAGTGAATTAAGGTGTTGGCAATTAAACTCTGCGTGAATTTTCGTTTTGGTTTAATACAACTGAAATTCAGAATCTAGTGAAAACAGGAATAAAGTTCTATCTCAGTGATTTTCACCAGGTTGTGTTTGGCGATGCATTTATAATTAACTCAGTGAGGTATCAAAAGTGATTAAAAGTTCATCTCTCCATTATGAATAAAAACTTTGGACTAGGAGTGAATACATTAAAGATCCACTATAATCATCATTGAACTCGACGGCAATTACATACGATGCACTGAAACACTGTAATAGCGATCATCACGATCTAATAGAAATCGACGTTTATCGAGCCAAAATTCAATGAAATCACATCGCCCTTCATTCCCAGCTAGAAAATCCAACTGGCAATCGATAGATGTAAAAAAAAGTTGGCCTTTGAAAAGACGAACAAAGGGCTAGTGCCCAGTAAAGAGGAAAAAAAAACGTCAAGTCCCGACGACTGCGAACACTTGACCTGTCAGAAGAGTTGGACCGCCCGCGAAGAAAATTGCCGAGTGCGAGATTCTCATTTTGTCCGAAAAAAATCTGGGACTGGACAAGAGGAAGAATCAACAGTCCAATGAAATGAGAATCACCATATGATTCTGAAGAATCATCTTTAGAACGGTGCAGATCAGAAAAACCACTCACACTCACACCCAGAGAATTAAAAAAATCCCTTGAACCCGACAAAAAAATGAACCGTGTCATCTTTCTGGTAGTGAAAAGATTTTTGGATAAAGCGAGACCGCACGGGTCCAATGTAATAAGTAACACATGCGTGTCACTCTACTTCCCATCGCCAGCAGATTGATCTTTTTGAAAGGTCCAAAAAAAGGAAGAAACATAAAAACGTGAGGAAAAACGTTAAGATCATTAGGAGTCATTCAAACTCGAGTTTTAGTGCTGGGGGGAAGTTTACAGTTAGTGCCATTACCGGCTGTTTGTGTTTGGAGTACGTTCAAGGCCGCATGTACAGAGAAGACAATTCCAGTTTAGCTGGGATGCAGGAGAGCAGAAAAGCCCTTTGACATGAGTTTGTACTAGCTGAGTAATCGAACAACGTATAACTGACCCCAATGTATCCAGAATTATTCGGTATACTGGGGATAGTTTGAGTTGTGGTGATATATTCATAGGAAAAATATATTGGGACTTACCGTGGCGTGAGTTAATATTGTGAGTTTAAAATAGTCGTTACCATTATCGATGATAAATTATTGGAGTGAATAAAAAAGTGGAAACCAAGTGTGTGAGAAGAATATAAAGTATGCTACGATGTCGTTCATGTTAATACGTGCGGTTATTGTTTGCTTGCTGAGCTGGAGATGTTGGGTTGCAGGTGATGACCTCTCAGATCCCATCAACAAAGGTAAGACATTCGTATTGTATTGGATACTTTTTTTAGTCATTATACTTATGGAAATTGCGAGTTCTTGCTTCGGAATCGCAGCATTGTACTCCTCCATTTCAAAATTATCAATTTTTTGGTCAGAATTACGAATTCTGGCTTCAGCAATTCAAATGCATCAAGTATTTGTTAAGTTAGGTTTGTTAAGTTGTTTAGTTAAGTTTATAATGTATCAAAACGTAAAGAATAATTATTAGAAATTATGTAATTGTAACTTTAAATGTTTAGTTTGCCGTTATTCCAACTTAGTTCAAATTTAGGAAGGGGTCCATGATTAGTTTAAAAAAAAATATTTATCTAAATGTTGGAACACTTGGTATGGGTTATTTACATTGTCATTGTATGTTACATGTGTTTGTTCACAATGCTGTACATGCAAATGGCATTGAAAAAAATATTTTCATATTTCTTCTGCGTACTGGTAACCAGTCGCATCTGCAAACTTTTTCAGGGTAAACGGACGTGAGCAGCTCGTTTTTTTTAGTTTATTTAACAATTTTTATTATTGCTGGTTGTACTCTGGGCAATTCCGTAATATACACTTAAAATATTCTGGCTGTGTTCGACAAGTAATGATTCGCTCCGATTCTGTTGACAGATACTTCACTAATGTCTTGTCGCTTGAATTTACAGATTTTATACGTATGATTAGTTTCTGAAAAAATGTTTAAACAGACTAAAATATTGTGGGTAATAAAGGTAGGGATTAGGAAATCCATGACTTGGTAAATTACAAAATTAGAAACGAAAATTACGGGATAAAACAAGCAAATTACGATTTTAGAGTTGCAAAGTGTCAATTTGTACATTATGAATTGGGTATTGTAATTTCATAGTTAATAATCGTAATTTACGAGTTTTGAATTGTCATTTAGGTGCTTGAATCTTAATTTATGGGTAGAAAATCAAAGTTTGCAAGGTTTACTTTTTCGTCTTGTAATTTACCCTTTTGTAAATAAATTACTTTCATACATAAATTACGAGATTAAATGGTGTCAAACCTATAGATTACTATGTCAAACGCGTAAATTACGATTCTAAACTTGCAAACTATAAACTTATAAATTGCGAATTAGGAATCATAATAGAGAAATTAAAAATCGTCATTTACAAGGCCGAATTTAACATTTACCTTTTTAATCTACTTTGTATTCGTAATTTATAATTACAAATTCAAAATCGTAATTTGAGTTTTCGTCGCGTAATCCACCCTTTTCATTTTCTATTTTATGTCGACGGAAAGAAAATTCAATAAAAATTAAAAATTAAAAAAACAGTAGTTAGTGAAAATTACGGGATAATTACGCACTTATTCACTGAACCATCCTTATATACTCTTTTTACTTTTAATGGCAGATTACGGAACAGGCACATAATTTTTATTCAATTTTTCTCAGCTTATTTTTTCAACTCCGTTATTCCCAAATTCATACCCCTTAATTGACGTTCAGATGTCCAGATTTTTTAAAACGATTATTGGTTATTGCGTGCGGAGGGTGAATGAGTGGGAGGGCCGCCCGTAGGGATGGGGAGGGACTATGGGGGTGGCGGAGAGTAGGAGAGAATTCAATTGGAATTTAGGGATTTGGGAATGATGAATGCAGTAATTTAAAGTGGAGTGCGATTGATCTTTCATTTTGGAATTCGGCAAATTCCGAGGATTTATGCCCTTATGAGGCTGGGGGCAGTCTATTCAGTGGTACAGTGTGGTACGTTATAGTTAACCTCCATCATCGGTATAACCGTCAAACGGCTGACCGCGTAATCTTCTCGCGATTATCCGATGTTAATCCTGAATGGGAGTTATACGCGTGTTATATGCCTATGGTGTGAAATTGAATTACCCTGTTTCTAAACCGTGCTGTATTGATATCAGCGAGCATGTTGGCGTAATGGATATTGAAACCAGTGGGTTAATTTTGGATAATTATAGGGCTACATAATTTTTAGGTAATTGTTTCAGTGAGATCTACGAAATTGGGCATTCATTTCAACGCAAACTGGACATTCTTCGGTTTATAATTAGGGACATTGTTTTTTAGTTTTGACACAATGACGCAATATATATTGGCACATTTTTTATTAACAATGTCAATAGTTACATTCTGATAGAGAAATTTTAAAAGATTATGAATATTTGAGGATAATCAGATTATATTATCCAGCGAATGCGATTTTTTCAAACATTCTGGAATGTTTAAACTATTGCTTGTCTCAATTCTCATAAAAGTATTAATAATTCGGATTAATAGTAGTTTTTCGAAAAATATATAAACAATAAAGAAGTGTTTCAATCAATATTTTGGAATCAATAAATATCCATAATATGCGTATCAAATTGTTTTATTATCCGCTGGACAAATTCTTCTGTTCAACAAGACCAACTTTATTGTTTGTAAATCATTCACAAAAAAAAAACCCGTAGTTCAAAATAATGTCAATATTGCAATGAATTTTTAATTAATTATTATCCATCCGTTTTTAATCAGTCAATTACTTTTTAAATGTTTTAATTATTTCGTAACAAGTTAAAACTTACGCCGGACTTGTTACTTCAGACTTTTGGAAATTACGATGCAAGTATAAGTAACTAAATGGAAAATAATAAAATGTTTATTGATAGACGTGACTCCAGAATGTTTTATATTAAAATAATGGGTATAAACTAATAATTTTGGACTAATATAATCACTATGTTCGGATCACGTGTAAGTTACAGTAGTTTCAAGGATTTTTTGATCTGTGGCGTAGTATTTCAATCGTCTATTGAACAGATGTCGACAACAATTATTTATTTTTCCCTTTTGTCAGAGGATATCCATCTGGGAATGAGAGTCTATTCTATTGGGATGGAGGTAAATTCCTGACAATACTGGGGTGTGGGCATTGCCACCACGAGGGAATGTAGGACTCCAAATACCGGAGTGAAGATAGAATGAGACAGAATTGGAAGAAGAAAAACAAAGTTGTCCCTCAAATTTACTCCTGTTCTTCTTTATCTCTTTCTCTTGGATTCCTCGGATTCTAGGAAAAAATAAATATGGATTCTTAGACGTGTTTTAATTAGATCGTACGACCTCATGTCTCCGAGAGATTTTATCCATTCAACTGAAAAATGAAAGCTTTTTACTCACCAAAAGGCTCAATAAATGATTGAAGTCATAATTTGTGAGTCTCTGATCTTATCGTGAAGCCTTTGAAGTCGCACGGATAAATTCTATTTTAACTATCCCAAACCGAATTTAATTCGGACCATCGAATAAAGTGCGCTGACCGTTCAAACACATACCAGTGGTGTTTACACTTGGAAATTAGTGATAAATGATGATCACCTCGTCAGGTGAAATTACAGAAAACTCATCAAAACCCGTCAGCGGAGAGGTTGATATGATATAACTGCAAAAATTGCTGCTGGAAAATTACACTTGGAGTTTCAAGTAAAAAAACCTGAAATTTCTGATAAGGCTAAATTTTAAGATGAATGAGAAATTTGATGACCTTTTTTAATTAAAAACTCAGATGACTTAGTGACTGAAATTCCAAGAAATTGTTGATCTAAAATGAAAAAGGAGCCGGATAGCTAAGTTGGGAGCGCACCCGATGCATATTCGGAAGGTCTCGGGTTCAAATTCTGGTCTGGACCATCCGTTTTTTCCGTAAATTTTTCCTGTAAAACTACACGGAGAGAAATATCTACGAAAATTACTGGTCTCGTATTAGTAAACGCGGGATATGGCACTGCCTTGATGAAAAGTCATGTGAAATTGATGAAAAATTACTGCAGTTCTCTGGAATATTTATTACTGCGCAGGGCAACAAAAATGACTGGACTGATCCTCAAATTTCTCCGAAGTTCATTCGATGTTCTAAAATGTTCTGATAAAAACCTGAAATATTCGTACTACTTATTCACTTTTTACTGCACTTCCAGTAAATTTTACTACACTTCCAGTAAATTTTACTGAATTTCTCATTACTTTTTCAGTGACGGAGGTGGGAAATTTTACTGGACTGGACCGTAATATGTAAGGTCAGGTCACAATGCTCCACGCTTACTGCGCAGTCCAGTAGTTTTTCAAGCGATTCTGGTACGAATTTTTCATACAAATTTCTCTCCGTGTATATCGAGAATTATCCTGTTTCCCTTTCTACCCACTCCACAATCCTTTCCAACGATTTCCTGTTACGTCATAAGATGTGGAACGCTATAAAAACTTCCTCTCTTCTATGAAACAATGTGTACTATATACGTATCCGGAGTGGAAATTTGACTCAGGTCCGTATCAAAATCGAATGTAGTCAAACGAGACAATCAATCAGGTATTGATCCTATAACTTGATCAAGACTTGATTAAGCATTTACCGCCTTGAATTGATCCGGATTTGATCCCGCGTGCCGGATCAAGGTTTGATCATGCAAAACGGATTAATACTTGATTACCGAAATCGAAAACTCGTAAAAACTCCAAGCTATATATATACGATAAGGAAATAATTTTTTAATAGTTATAATAATAACAACAAAATCAATTTCATACTTTTACTATAGACATATTCATGGCACTATTCCTCCTTTTTCCGTATATTTAATCGAAGCCATTCCTTAAAAAAATTGAATAACGAATTAGTAATTAGATATTTCAGTGCCAGCTCACCTAATCCCAACTTGATCAGACTGATTGACGGACAGCTTAATTTTAGGTCAGGTTGACTCCATCAGAATCTGATCCAAATAATTTAAGACGAACGAACGTCAGTCTAAGATCAGTGCCACCTCATCCGGACTTGATCAAGGTGATTGCAGGTGAACGAATCTCAGGCTCAGATGAAGCTCAGAACCTGATGAGAGTAATACGGATCACGTTGAATAAATCATAGACTCATTACTTCCTCATCAAGTCTCACCCGCTAGGTTGCAACTGAAACTACTTGTTTATGGTACACTCGTGATGAACAAGTAG